AAAAGTAATCAGTTACATTACTTTAATAAAGTAATTGAAAAGTTACACTACTTATTACATTTTAAGTAGGGTAACTTGTAATCTGTAACCTATTACATTTCCAAAGTAACCTTCCCAACACTGATCGTCACAACGCCGGATAAATAGCAGATCTCCAAAAAGACGGTGTAATTGCACTCCCTTCGTTTGTTTTTAATTTTCGAAATTGTAGAAAATGAAAGAAATTAAACGTAACTGCAATAAAAGACATCAAATGCATTCCCACAGCGGTAACATATAAGGACTAATCTAAGGAGTTCGTGTGACAATTGCATGTCTAATGTATTTATGAAAAGTAAGTAAAAGAACAAGTAATGTACCTACCTGTCATCACCAACAAATATGTTACGTTTCTGAATCCTATCATGCGCGTGAGCTTTCTTCACAGACCATTGGAAAAGCGCACGATTCCCGTCAGCAGCAGCGTGTAGTGTTTCTAAAAGTGGACACGCCACCTGTTGAACTCATGCCTGAGCATAAAAACGACAAGAGTCTGACAGGCTTGTCCCTTGACTAAAAAAAATAACACAACATAAGGGATTCTTCTGAATTATATCCAGGTTGGAAGGTCGTTGCTGTCGCTGTCTGTGGGTCACAGAATGATAAATGTTGTCCGTTGTCTCACTCTTCTATTCTGTTTACTGCTGACATGTGCTAAAGCTTATCATTTTTAACATGTGACAAACAGTTGTATCTGTATGTAGTTTTTGTAATGACGTAATAAAACACTTGCAAATACTTTTAAGTAAATAACAAAAACGAGCATGCCAAGTGTTTTTAGAATTTATTTATTATTTGCCACAATTTATTTTAATGAGAAATTTACTTTGACTGTTAAACTACATAGACATTTTTCACTCTTTGCCCCATCAAAAAGATTTAACTTTATTTGATTTAATTCATAAATTGAAAACATATCTCATAGATGTCATGGAAACGGGTGTGTGGAGGCATGCAGGACGACGAGGACAACAAGAATTCCACTACTCACTTTTAATGTAGACACAACAAGGCAGGTAAAGGTAGGTGAACCACACACACTCGGGGTAACATTCACAATAACCGACACCAATGCTCAGACAGACAGGAACTAATATGGGGTGGATAATTAGTGGCAGACAGGTGAGCACAATGACGGTGATTAACTAATGATTAGACGGGCTAAACCAACACAAGGGGAAGAAACCACAATAAACAGTCCACAGGGGCGTTACAATAGAACAGCATAAATTGCTTTAGCATAAATTTAGGACTAATTCCTGACTGATTATTTTTTCTATCATTTAATCTAAAACACTAATCTTAAAATTAAATGTTACATAAAAATGTAGGTACATATCTAGCTGACATGCAAATTGTGAGGCCTAATATTAAAAGTAAAAATCCATGCTCGCATCACATTGTCCTTTATGCTTTGAGGCCGATAATCAAAATCATCAAAATTGATCAAAACATGGCAATAATGTGAACTATTTGACATTGGTAGTATGAAAAACAAAGATTTTTATTAATAATAAAATTCCGAAATGTTCCCCCTCCCCCCCACCCCCTCAGCTGAGCACATTCATTTGTTACATAGGCCTACTGATACTTTATAAACGTGTGCAGTGGTTATAGTTCCTGATCCAATCTATTTTCCAAATCCAAACCAGGTTTTTAATCTTTAATATTTATACAAGACTGCAATTCAGGCGGAAGAACCTTCCAAAGATAGTGCAACAAAATCACACTTAACCTGTAAGTCGCTATTGACTACAGGCAGATAAACTCAAACAATAGAAGCTTTTTACATTTGCAAGATTACACATTTACGTAGGAGGAAACTAAACAAATGAAGTGTGCCAGTCTTCCTGTTGCAGTGAGTAAGTGATGTTATGAATGTTTGAAGGTGGAAAGTTGGCTTTACTGGATGATTTAATGAGATGCAAATGTTTATGATTGTGAATTGAGGCAGTTGCACTGGTGCTGTTTGCAGTGAAGCAGAAGATCAGCTCAGACAAGAATGTTGGTTGCTTCCTTATCAGACTCAGCGAAAAAGCCATTTGTGATATTCTTTCATACAAGTAAGAATAACCATTTTTCTGTAACTCTACCATAATAGCTCATTTGTTAACATTATTTAATGCATTAGCTAACATGCATGAACTAACAATGAGCTATATAAGAATGAATTAATCATCTTTAACATTAGGAAATAAAAATACAATTGTTCATTGTTTGTTCATGTTAGTTCACAGCTCAATAAAGAATGCTAATACAATATTTTAAAATATTAAAACCTTTTGAAATGTATTAGTAGATGTTGAAATGAACAGTAACTAAGATAAATCAATTCTGTAGAAGTACTGTTATTTGTTGTTAACTCAAATTGGCAAATCAGACCTTAATGTAAAGCGCTACCAAATTTAGTCATTTTAAGCAGATCCTATATTATGTTAAAACCCCTACAATGTAGAGGGAAAATAAACTAGCTAATGGTTCTAACCTTTAAAAAACAGTTTGAAGCTACAGTGTTTTCGGTTGTTTCATTTCTCGAATGCTTTATGCTGACAGAGGACAGGATCGTTGTCACCATTTTGTCATAAAATCAAACCAAGACTGGCCTGTTCGTCGTTTCTGGTGATTCCACCACTCATAACAGTCTCACAGAGCTGATCAATTACTTTAAAACCACACCGATCCAGCCTTTTGGAGAGTACCTGACTTCATATAACAGATATGGACTCTGTGGAAGAGGTATCAATCATACTTTGCATTCTTTTTAAAGGTGCACTCAGTAATTATTCTTCATTAAAAAAAGTCTTATATATAAAGAAATGAATAGTACTTTTAAAATCATGTTCAATCACATTAGATGATGAATCTATTTAATATAAGTAGCCTTTATTTGATCATATGACCAGCCATATTTCATACACTTTATCTTGGTAATCCAGATTTGCTTATGGGCAAAAAAACAAATCATGGTTAACTGTGAATAAATCGTTAATGGCATCAGAAGGGAAATTGTTTGAGTGTATGGCATATTGACAAACACAACGTACTAATACAAAAAAAAATTACTAAGTTCACCTTTGAATACATGAAAACAAAGAGAATATCAGCATGGTAGGAAATGTTTTACAATGCATGTCCTTTTGCATTGTCATTCTTCTAGGATGGCAAAAATGAGCTTTATGATGTGGTTCAAAATAAGACCAGAGTCAATGCGGGTGTTAGCGTTAAGGCTCTAAGAAGTATATGGGAACAAACTAGCAATATCCCGCAAAGCACGCCTCCTGTTCTGTATTCTAAAAGTGTCCGGAAACTCGTGATCTCCACCTCTATTGACAGGAACAGCCTGTCCCAGGTAACCAAGTCAGCTCTAGTAACCATGGCTAATTCTATGATGTAAAACCTTTTTACATATCTAGTGTTGAAATTCATTTATGTGTTGTATAAATCATTAGGGTATGAAAGTTCCACCATTGCCAAAGAAGAATACACCACTTCGGAATTTCTTAAGCGCCGGGTTTCCTGGTACAAATCCATTACAAGAACAACACAGCTTTTCAGAATCACGGACATCTGGAATGTCAGGTGGTGATGAGAGAGCAAATGGCAAAAAAAGCGATACCTTCAACACAGAAGGCTACAACTCTCAATTTAAGTTGCCTATCCACAATGAAAACAGTCAGTCTTTAACCTCTAATTCTTGTAACATTATGCCCTCCACCCCTCAACAAGCTCTTTTAGCTCCACCCAAAACAGCCTCCTGCTCTTATGCTGTCCTTGATCTTAAAAAACGCAATAGTGGAGCTTGCCAAGTGCCCTATACTGACCAAGAAGCCCTACAGCCCAAACCACTCTACCAGACCTCATCTGTGGTGTGTGCTGGACAGAAGGACCAGCCCGAGCAAGAATATGACAACCGTATAAAGCCCATCGACAACATCCTTTTAGCAGAAAACCCCTATCAAGACATACCTGAACAACGTGGCAGTAATACCGAACACATAGCTGAGAGCAACACCTATGAGGACATCCGAGTGACAGACAGCAACACGTATGCGAGTTTGGATGAGATGCAACCACACACACCAAGCATCTTGGGGAAGAAGGTGAGACCTGATATAATAACAAACAAATATACATAATTTTTGTACGGATGATTTTCTATGAAAATTAAAAAACTGTTATCATTTACAGAATCATAAGTGGTGGAAACTTCGACTGGAGAATAAGAAGTAATAGTCATCAGGTGAATGCAAAAGCTGAGAAAAATATTTCATTTAATATTTCATTTAAAGTCATAATTTGGTGTGTAAAGTATACATATAACTTCAGTATACAGTATGGTTTCTACACTTATAAAATGCTGAACATTTTTAAACAAATACAATGGTACAATTAAATGGTTATGATAAAACACCTGCTCTGATTATATCTATAGTCTTGACTGAATTTCCCACTATTTCCCCAGGATTTTATCTTTCAATGTAGACTAGACCTGCGTAATTTGGTATTTTGTAATTAGTATAGTGCTCACAGCCTATCAACGTTTTCTGTAACCCTAATCCAGCAATCCACACTGTTTCTATGATACAATAGTCTTTCTCTACACATATGAAACCATAACACTGCACAGCATAACTGAATAAAGAATGGGGATAACATAAAATAAGTGCTCTGTACGAGATTAGCATTGAGTAGATTGACTGCATTGTGCTTTCTATCTCCTTTAAAGTGATGTGCTCCCCTATTTTATATTTATATTGAATAAACTGTAGAAAAAAAAAGTTTAGAATATAGACCTTCTGTCATTTTGCCCACCACTATAGTACTATGTCATCCATTGCAATTTCGGATAATAGCTGACTTAATGGATGGTGATATAATCACATCTCTGAGCCACTGAAACATTTCCAAATGGTTTGGACTCTAAATATTGATCCACTTACAACCTCATGATGGACTGGTCAACTTTTGAAGGTTTCTTAACATCCTTATGCTATATAATAAACTGTGCTTGCATTTTTTAGCCATCAAGCTTGAAAATCAGGCTAGCAGCTTAAAACAATCTTTCAGGGGCTTCACTGTATTAGATTTATGAAAAGCTTATGATTCGTGATAATTATACATGCTTATACTACAAATTGTACAGTACTCACATGAGATCATGTTCTCAAAGTGAAGAAGTGAGAGCTTTCCATCTCCATTCAAGCTTACTTTATTACCTTTTGGGCAACCAGTCTCCTCTTTATTTCACCGAGGAGAACATGTAGACAGGTCATTCAAGATGAACAAAAAAATCTTTCCTCATGACTGTTTAAGCCAAACAGCCCTTTATCAACAGAAGAGTTATACGTGGTCCATTTGTGTAGAAGTACCACGTTGGGGGCCAGCATACGAAATTGACCATTAATTCAAAAACAGATGAAATCTCAGCCTAAAATATACCTGTGAGAATGGCAACATGTATTCGTTAAATACAATATTAGGTTCACATTAATCAGTTCTTCTAGTAAAAAAGCAGAATCCTGTAGAAAGACAATCACTACAGAAAATAGCAAATGGTCACACACACCAACCTCAGTTTCTTAACCAGTGAAACAAACTATGTTTGTTTGTCTTCTGACAGGCCAGATGTTCTAATCTGCTGTACTATCTTACATTTCAAGGCAGATTAAATGCAAACACGTTGAAAACACTGACGCAATAGGAGATTTACTTATCAGTCCATTTGCGGCTCCAGAGCAGACATTCTGAGAACTGTACGGTGGTGATGAAGTTTCAGTCTCCTCCAGCAGGCGGGGACATTTACAAACAAAATTCATTATTTCCACCACAGTTAAATGTTTCCAGATTGCTTAAAAAACAAAAATGGCATATGGAGAAATCAAATAGGCCAAAGGGAAATTTGGTATGAACAACAGGTTTGTCCCTAAAGTGATAATCATATAATGTATAATTCAGAAACCTGACATAGATGTGGGTATTAATATGACAAAGTGAAATAACACCGCATCAGGAATCATTTGGATCAAAAAGTCCTGTATTCCCCAGATGTATGTGAAAGTAACAGAGTGTGTCTCAATACTGTAACAAATTGCCGCTGCTTCGTTTCATTCATTGCTCCTCCGTTCTACAGCACGTGACCCGGACACGCATCTAAAGGCGTTCACGCCATATCGGAATTCCCGTAATTACGAGATTCCAACTTGTAAAAAGCTTTCACGTCCTCGTAGAACTCGTAATTACAACTTGTAATTGTGAACTGGGTGTTTTCTGAGAGCTACGACTTGTACCACCTGACCACCGCAGGCTCTGTTTAGGCGTTGATAGTGTTGCCATAGAAAAGCAATAGAACGTCATGTGCTGTCATCTTGAAATTACGGTAATTACGGTACGATAATAAGTACTGCACTGCGAGAACGGAGGAAACCAGAGAAACTTCCAAAGGAGTTAGGAAAAGCTAGAAAATACGGGTGTATCGTATGCGGAAGTTGTTTTTTTTGGACGAAACACCTAACGCACGCATTGATTCATCACCACCCTCTTCACATATTCAAACATCTTGCTTGAATATTAAAAATGTATCACTGAGCAAATCAGCGAATTATTCTTTCTAGTGAAAGGGTTGAAAAGATCATTATTGCGATGAAGCAAAATCCCATCAGTAGTACCTTCTGTAACGTTTCTAATTGACAATCAAATTATATTTAATAAACATGATCATTTACAAAATACAGTAGGTTTTGTTGAACATATATAAAAAAAATAAATAAATATGAAAACAGAAAAAGGAAAAAATAGCATGAGATTGTCATCAATAAAGCTACACGTAGAAATATAGTACGTTTAGCTATTTTTTTAAACCAAGAAGTACAAGAAAGCATTTCGGCTATATAAGAAACAAATGATTTGTACAATGGAAATTCTGACATAAAAAATAAATACTAAGTCATACTAATAAAAGTAAAAATTATGACAGTGAGTAATTATTTTGAGATAAATAGTCAAAACTATGAGATAAAAAGTAATAATTATGCAATAAAAACTTTTGACTGTCATAACTTTTTTGTCATAATTATGACTTTCCTCATAATTTCGACTTTTTATCTTGTCACTTTGACTTTTATCTAATAAATTATTTATATGACCTATCCTCTATAGGGACTTTTTATGTCAAAATTATGATTGACCAAACCTTCTTTCGCTCTGGACCTGTGTCTCCGCGATGGCGTCACGGCGGACACGCCCAGCCTCTTCCTCGCTGCTGTGTGCTGCTGCTGGTGCTGTGTGCAGCAGAGTCGGAAACACAAGTTCAAGCGCAGCGTGTATGTATTGTTAGCCGAATACCATTACTCTGCTACCGAGCCAAAGCAAGGTAGCCAGACAGCAGAAACAGAAAACATGGCGAAAACGTACGATTATCTGTTCAAACTGCTGCTCATCGGAGACAGCGGGGTGGGCAAGACGTGTCTGCTGTTTCGATTCAGTGAGGACGCGTTCAACACCACCTTCATCTCCACTATAGGTCAGTTCAACTCTGTGGTTTCTACAGGAATGCTTCTTATGTGGTCCTGCGGGAGGAGAAATAAGCTGTTAGAGAGTTACGTGGAGGTTTACACACACATGTGACTGTCTGCTGAAGTGACCGGAAGAGGCCGTGGATGTGACAGCCCGTTCACTCAGCTAGTCAACGACATGTGTTTTATTAGCGTTTAAAATGACACGCCCGATTTTACATAATGAATTGTCAGGATCACTTGGGATATACTACTTTAATCTGTAATTTGAACGAGACGTTACAAGCATGCTGCGTTTGTAGAGCTAGCATGATTGCATTGTGATTAGCTGTGCTGTGGTAGTGGTGTGGGCTGGACTGCACTTTCGTTTCTGTGGTTAAAGAGACGTGTAGATTCACATTTGACCACTAAACAAGAGTTCGAGCGGGCCAGAGCGAGCACTTTACTTGGGTAAGAATAAAAGGTGGGTTTGTGTGCTGTCACAGGTGGCTTATCTCATCAACATCTGATTGCTTACAACATGGTGATGTTACATTTGTGATGGTACATCAGTTCCTACGTACACTTTCACTTTAAAGTTGGCATGAAATTAAAATGTATTTAATGCCAATTTTGTTTTGTAAATTCATGTTATAGACCCTATTTTGAACAATTAATATGTGCATATGTTTCATTTTTTTCATGTTTTGATCTCATCAAAGTGTCACAATTGACCCTTCTGGTAAAAACGACAGACTTCTCTCTGGTGACAAATGCAGGACTTGTCCAATCACTTAGTCCACATAAACCCCGCCCCTGCAAGCTCACATTCATCTCCCTTCACTTTTTGAGTGTTACGCCCACATCTCAAAATCCAATCAACCACCAATGGATTGAAAGTCCTCACCCTACATTTTTTCTTTTTCGGTAATCTGTTTCAGTCGGATGTACGTCACAATAGGAAGAAAAGATATGTAGCTACTTCCTTTTCGCTGTGATTTTTACACTATTACAGAAGCAGCATCTGTTTCTTAAGTCAGCACACCTATAGTGTTATTCTAGAATATGAAACCCTCAAAATCAGAGCATACACATGTCACAAGAAATTGTACTAACATACATGGACTAGGTCACCAGGCTCATAGTTTTTGACCAAGTTACTTGTGATATTTTTGACACAGCTTTAGGTAAGCCTGTCTCTACTGTGGTCCAATACGACATTTCCTGTGCGAAACCTGTGCGAGAGTTCCTTGACCTTTTGTAATTGTTATGCCACAGACTTCCCCTATTGCCATGGACAATACTGCTGTGTCACTTCCTGTCCCATGTCCTGTCTGAGCTTTCACTGGTGGCAGGATTGAATGCCTTAATACACACTGCCAAGTTTTCTCATAATTGCCATAAACAGGGGCCACGTTCTGTTGCTGCTGAATGCAACAGGTTTATATGCATGTGCAAAGCCTTTTGCAACACTGCAGCCATTGAGTCGGTCAGACATATGCTACACCATTCTGACCTTTCTACACATTCCATCTCCATGGTTACGCCATGAAAACGTGCTAATGCAACAGTCCCCTTTAAGTGGAAAGATTTGTGATGTGTTCTGAAATGAGTCAGTTTCACATTGTCATGATAGGACTGATTTCTGTTGTGTTAACACTAGGTTTTGAGATGAAGTGTTTCACATCACTTATTTCTAAACATTATTATTGCAGGGATTGACTTTAAAATCAGAACAATTGAGCTGGATGGGAAGAAGATCAAGCTTCAGATCTGGTGAGAGCACAAGTCTGCATTATACCGTATAAAGCAAAGATGTGAAAAGATTTGGCCGCTATGCCATATCACAAATGGGGGGAAAACATTCCATTAAAGCATATTTTGATTTCTAATTTATATTTTTGTTTTACATTTTTTTTTGTATTGCTTTTGCATATCATTGAATTTTATTTAAAATTCTGTGATACGCAATTGTATATTATGCAGGACTTACATTAGCCCCACAACCCTCAATCAAGTTTGATTTTTTTCAGCCTTTCTTAGGAAAAAGTTTGGGCAAGCCTAGTATAAATTATAATTGTGTACAAACTAGTGCTGTCAAACGATTTATCGTGATTAATCGCATCCAAAATAAAAGTTTTGGTTTACATTGTATGTGTGTGTGTGTACTGTGTATACTTATTATGTATATATAAATACACATACATGCATGTATATATTTAAGAAAAACGTGTTGTTTATATATTAAATATATTTATTTATAATATAAATTAGGGCTGGGCGATAAATCGATTTTATCGATTAATTCGAATGTGTAGTTTACGTCGACTAGTTTGAATGAAAATCGGTTTTCTCTTTAACATCCGCCGACGCTCCCCTCTGGGCTCCCGTGGTTCCGAATGGGCTCAGCCCTCCCCCCGCGCGTTTGCCATAGAGATACACAAACAACATGGCAGCGAGCAGGGAAGAACTCGTTCCCAAGAAAGGCAGTGTCATCTGTAATTTGGAATTGGTTTGGTTTTGCGGCATTAGACGCAGAACAAACAACACCCCGCTGCAAAGTGTGTTTGAAGTCTGTTGCTAGCAAAGGTAGCAGTGCGACCAATTTACTGCAGCACCTCAAACAGAGGCATGCTGCCGAGTGAGAGAGATGTTGCGCCCTACGAAATGAACAAGACCGCGGCAGCACAAGCACACCCGCCAAAAAACAACCTACAGCAGTGTTACTTATTGCGCGGCTCGCCAAGCTTTACTTTGTGGCTCGCATGGCAGTAAATAATACGATGATATGATCATGCAGTCAATACAGATTTCATAAAAACATTAAAAACAAGTAGGGCTATAACATAACCCATTAAAAAACTCACACCATGTCAACACCGGACGCGAGTGGCGCGATCCGACAAAAGACAATAGAACCCAGTGATGTTGTCTACACTGGATGTGGCGCGATGCGACGCGACACGATCCCCATCAGTAAACTGATGCCTCGTTCTATTTATGACGAACTGTACTGACACTACGTTCAGATGATTTGCAACTGTAGTGTCAACAAGTGTAGACAGACTTTTAGCGCAGCGGGGCGCGGCAAGACAACTGTCGCCGCGTCCGGTGTGTAGACACGGTCAGACAGTGTCTGCTCTATTACAAATAATTTATATTAAAAAAAAAATACCTAAAACAGCGGCATTACAAGATGGAAATATAGACTAGAAAAGATATTTACACTTGCTCTGACCTACGTCCATGACACTAACTCACTGCTGAGTTGCCAGTTTTAATCTTAAAGGGGTCATATGATGCGATTTCAATTTTTCCTTTCTCTTTGGAGTGTTACAAGCCCTTGGTGCATAAAGAAGATCTGTAAAGTTGCAAAGACTAAAGTCTCAAATCCAAAGAGATATTCTTTATA